GAGAGGGACTGGGGGGCGAGGAAAGGCCCCGTCGAAGCCGAACTTGGCAGTGCCAAGGGCCGCCTCATCGACGACGACACTTGGGGAAGCGCGAGGGGGAACGCCGTGGAGGCTGAGTTTCCGGACGGCGCCCCGAAGGACCGAGACTGGGGCGTCCGGAAGGGACCCGTGGAGGCTGAGGGTGTCGAGCCGGCGCAGGAGGCCGATTGGAGCGCGAGGAAGGGGCCTGTCGAGTCAGAGTTCGCGGCGCAGGACCCGAGCCGCGACTGGACCCAGCGGAAGGGGCCCGTCGAGGCCGTGGCCGTCAAGGGGGAGGACGCGGATTGGACGGCCAGGAAGGGGCCCGTCGAGGCCGAAGTTCCGGAGAAGAGGCCGGACGTCGCCGAACGCGACTGGACAGCGAGGAGAGGGCCTGTAGAGAAGGAGGTGGAATCCGCGCAGAAAGCCGTGCGTGACATCGACTTTGGCGACGTGCGCCGCGGCGCGAGGTTGCAGCAGCTCGAGGAGGAGGCGACCGCGAGTAAGGACACGCCTCAGAGGCCGGCGACGGGCGATAGATGGCGTCGCGATGCCGCGGTACCCGCCCGCGCCAGCCCGGTCGAGCCGCGTGAACGGCCCGCGTCGACAGGGCATGACGGGCCGCCGAAGCCGGAACGCGACTGGGGAGCGGCGAGGCGTACCCAGCCGGTCAGGGCGATGTCTCGTCCGAATCGCGCTAGCACTGGCAGGCCGAGTAACCCAGCCAACGTTTCGGAATTTGCGAAGGTTGATTCTCAAGAGGCAAATGCCGAAGACAAGGATGACCAGTGGACGACAGTGAGAAACGCGCCGGCCAAGCGGCTCTCAGGGTCCGTGGGCAATCGTCGGTTTAGTGGTCGAGGTAGCTTACAGGAGAGGGAGGACCGCGATATGCGCGGTGCGAGAGATAAGGCGACCAGCTCACCCGTCACACCCGTAGCTTCTGCAGTTTCTGAGTCCTGAGGTGGGCCCTCTTCTTAGACAGTAGAATTCTTCTCGTACAGGTTCCCCCTACGCAGGAAACTGCTTCTTATGGAGCAAGCTGAACTAAAGTTGTGTGATCTTTATGCACTTGCACTTCTGGCAGCGAAAGGACGAATCCTTTCGCTGCGGTTTGGTTGAGTAGTTACCTTTATTACAAATGGAGAAGTATAGTAGTTTCGTCTAAAACGGGAATGCCGGCACGATGTGATGCCGGGTAGATGTCATGGGAGCACGCAATGTCATGAGCCAAACGTGGGCGTGGGCTTTCCCTGTGATGGACCATTCGTTCAAGTCGCTATTTCGGACGCTAAAACATAGACTGTTGAGCTGGTAGTAGCGCGTCATGCCTTTTCATGCCTCTGCGAAACTCTCAGCCTCAAAGACCCACTGTCCGGTGTCAGAATTGTAGTCAACAAACATCAAGTGATTCATTTCGCAAAATCCTTGAAGCTTCTGCCTGTACTTTGATATCGCGTCCCTGTCCGAGGTTGGGGTCCCGGCGCGCTTGTCCTTCTTGTACATGCCTTCGAGTGTGATCCGGGCTGGCGCATCAAGTTGGTCTGCTTCGCGATCCGGGTACACTGCTACCTCCCCCTTTTGAATATCGACGACAAGATCGAGATCGAGACCCCGAACATCCACTGGTTCAATCCACTGGATCTCTCCGAACCCTTTTCGGCCAACTGTAAAATTTTCAACCGATTGAAGTTCTTTCATCGTCCTGGATGCGAGTTCTGCCATGCTTGGAACGGTATAAAACCCTTCCTTCGTCAAGTATGGAAGGTATTTGTCTGGGTTGTACTGGTCGTCAGAGTCAAGAGGAGTGTTCAAACTCCATGCTGATGGGCGTGGAGATGACCACATAAAGTCACGCCGACTCGAATGCACGCCACTAAAACGCTTGCCCTCGGATCCCTTCAACGAGCCGTTGCTCTTATCTTCTCCTCGTCCTGGTGATCCAAGCGGGGTTCTCTGCAGCGGCGACTTTCGGACATCGTCTCCCCGGTTTGCATTAGTCCTAGAATTCGGCGACGTTTCTTTCGTCACTTCATCAAGACCTACATCACTTTCGTTGTCCTCAAGATCAGACATTCTTCTCTGTGGGGTACTCTTTCTTTCAGAGACTGGTACAGGGAGTGGAAAGGGCCTAGTCTTGTGCGGAGTGGTGATTTCCGATGACCGCAGGACCCTTCTTTTCGGGCCTGTAAACTGTTGCGGGGAAAAGAGTGTCATCTTGCGACTAGTCGAATTGGACCGTGATGGAGTATCCGCAAGTCCCCTTTCGATTTTCACCTCTGATTCAGGCAGTTTGAGCGGAGTACCGGAAACCCTGCTCCTTGCTCCGTTGATCCTCCCGACCACACCTCTCATTTTTGTTCGGCCGGGAGTTCGCGAGGAATACTGACCAGAAGTACCAGACCCTCTTCCTGTCGAAAGTTTCACAGGAGGAGGGGGTACGACCACTATAGACAAGGACTGCTGTTGACGCGTCTTCTGTGCTTCTTGTTTTGCTTGTTGTTCTAAGAGACGCTTTTGCTCTTCAATTCCTCCTTGAAGTTGCTGTAGATTGTGCAAAACTGTTCCGTAGTTGACACCGGGTGGGGCAACTGTTCCTCCCGCACCCTGGGTGACAGCATTGTAAGTGTTCTGGAGAGAAAATCCACTTGGGACTGTAACCTGGCCGACTTGGCCACCCGACGCACCGAAAAGACCTGGTTGGTTCTGCTGTTGAGGTTGGGGTTGAGCTCCAAAGCCCGTTACACCGAAGCCACCAAGTCCAGTAGCGGGAGCGCTTTGTCCAAATCCAGATCCGGTGTTGCCGAAGAGACCGCCACCGCCCCCACTTTGTTGCCCAAACGCAGCAGCGGAAAACCCGGTTGCTGGAGCACTTTGCCCGAAGGGCGGCTTCTGACCTCCGGCGTTGGCTCCAAACAGCGATTGCGATTGACCTCCTCCGCCAAACAAGCTATTTTGTTGGCCACCGCCGAACAGATTGGGTTGGCTTTGCCCGCCAAAAAGGGAACCCCCTGCTGGTGCGGCAGAGTTGCCAAACAGCCCGCCACCACTCTGCGGTTGTTGTGATCCGAAAAGGGACTGAGATTGTTGTGTTCCGAAACCCCCACCAGAACTTGCCTGTCCAAATATATTTCCCCCCGATTGCGGATTAGACTGACCGAAGCCACCTGCGAAGCCACTGCTTGAATTGAAGCCACCGCCTCCCGCCCCGAAACCACCTCCCCCAGCACCAAAGGCGTTTCCTCCAGCTCCAAAACCCGAAGCGCCACCACCACTACCACCGAACGCAGAACCGCTCGCACCGAAACCACTTGCACCGGAGCCAAACGCAGAAGTTTGCCCAAATCCTGCTGCCCCTGCCCCAAAAGCTGGAGCAGACTGCGCACCAAAGCCGCTTCGCGACTGTCCAAATAATCCGCCACCTGATTGTCCAAACCCTGATGAGCCGAAGCCAGCGGCGCTTGACTGACCAAACCCGCTAGTATTGCCAAAGCCAGAATTCCCGCCAAACAGACCACCACCCTGCGACTGGCCAAACGCGGCCTGACTCTGACCAAATCCTGATGCAGACGCGCCGAAGCCACCGCCTGCCCCACCCGAGCTTCCAAACCCACCGCCAGAACCGAAGAGCCCACCACCAGATTGTGCGCTTTGCCCAAACAGAGAATTTGTCATGCCTGCAGGATTAGTATTGTCCCCTTTGTTCCCCATGCCGTAGTCTTCATATCGAAGTTCTTCCAAACTCTTCTCTCGGAAACGGGGCATCATACTAATGGCCTGATATTTACTTGCCGCGGAAGGGTTGCCTGCCTCGTATTCAATGGTAAGTTGCCAGTTAGTACCAGCGGTTCCCATTTGACTTTGCTCCGGGGCACCAAAGGCGGTTTGACTTTGGCCGCCAAAAAGGGACGAACCAGAGGAGGCGTTGCCAAAAAGGCCGCCTCCTTTGGCTGCACCGAAAGCACCCGTTGCACCGAAAGCACCAGACGATGCGGATGCGCCCCAGGCCGACTGCGATTGGCCGAAAGAAGAGGCGCCGGCACCGAAGCCGCCGGAGGGTGGGCGAGATGCGCCGCCGAAGAGGGAAGAGGCTCCGGCGCCAAAGGCCGGGGCACTAGATCCGAAAGCGGGTTGCGACGAGGCGGCAGACGCTCCGGCGCCGAAGCCCGACGACGGCTGCGAGGCGCCAAAGGCCGAGGAGCCGAAAGCGGAGGAACCAAAACCAGAGGCCGACTGGGGGGCGGCGGAACCGAAGGCGGAGCCGAAGGCGGATGAGGACTGCTGCCCGAATGCACCGAAGCCAGAGGGTTGTTGCGGTTGTGCAGGCTGCCCGAAGAGGCCGGTAGAGGCGCCGGCGCCGAAGGCGGAGGAAGCACCAAAAGCCGATTGTGACGACTGACCAAATGCACCCAAGGCGCCGAAGGCTGACGTGGCGTTTGCTCCAAAGCCGGAGGAGGGCTGGCCGAAGCTGCCGAAACCGGACATTTTGTAGGGTTGGGGGGGAAAGGCAGACAATGGTAGGGTGAGGTGAGCGTTGAGAAAAACAGAGTTAGAGTCGTTGAGATGGGGTGGAAGGGATGAGCAGTGGGGATTGGCCCGCGGGGGATGGAGTGTGAAGCGCGTGGTTGGCGATGTTTTCAGTGAAAATCGTGGTGTAGGTGTCGGCAGTGCCGTGGGCTAGGCCGTGGGTTGGCGTCGCCCCGCGCTTCGCGCTTCGTGCACTCCCGTGTCGAAGAGACTTGGCCGTCTTCCTTGCTTGACGATCTGCAATCTTCAACGCGCCTTGTCTCTGGTGGCGGTAAGTACCCTGACGCCACCCCTGTGCATTGTGGATGAAATTATGGGCTATTTATACAATAATTAGAGGACGTCGCCATACCTCCCCCGACCCCGCTCATGTGGATGAAATTATGGGCTATTTATACAATAATTAGAGGACGTCGCCAAAGCAATTCTCATATATTTCATTCAAAAAACAATGTTTTCGATTCCGATTTGCCTCGCTTCATCTCACTCCTTCAAAAATGGCTCTACACGTACTGTGACAGTAACAGCGATGCATACTGTGCACCCAATGCGTCACCCACCTCCCATCCTGCACAGCGACATTCCACAGCAATGCTGTGTCGAGGTCGCTACGCCCGCATCTTCTTCATTTTGCTGCTGAATCCCGGTCAGGTGCAAGAATCCCTCGTCTCTAAACAGCGGGTGGCAAGAGATAATTTCTGCTCTATACCTCGCCGACTCGGGGTTAAACGTGACCATCTCTTATACAACTTTTGTAGTTCTGAATCGGACATTGAGACCAAGGTAATGCTGTAGCTGTGGGGTAATGAGCGAAAAAAGGTCGTCAAGTATCCTTTTTGGTCGTATTTATCTCATCCACTCTACATTTATCAAAGAGCTGCAGAATGTAAACGTCAGAACATTTGCTACAGTTTAAAACCTGAAGGCATATTTACTCTACTGCTCTTCTATCATCCTCCAAACCCCATTGCGATATCAGCGCACTGTGCAAGAAGGATTTTTGAAGGTGTGAACGTCCTGCGAACAATTGATATTTATACCAGCATCGGAATTCAAAATCGTGGCGTCGAGGGCCGTGGGCATGAGATTTGAAAACGTCGGCCATAGTATCATAAAGTCATCCGTGTGATGCCCCAGTACAGCTACAGTTCAACTGGATAGGATACACTGTGTGTTGCCTTCTTTATCTTTATCACGGGGTATCATAGGGGCATATCCTACACTATCCTACACGGGAAGCACCGGCCGTTGTAAAACACTTGTCCTTTGGCCTTTTCATCCCAGTCGTAATTTCAAGTCGAGCAATTCATGTCGGGAGGGTGATCGCAGAAACGGGGTCAGAGTGGCAGTTTAAATCAATTCAAAAAAGCGCCCCTGCCGCCACTGGGAGAGCAACGTGAAATTTGGTTAAAAATATTAAGTCTAGCTGGAATTTCGACGGAAACCTCCTCTCGGCCCCGGGATGATGGCTGATGGCAAACCCTCTCCCCCGCCTCCTCTGCCGTACCCCCCCCCTACAGTCACACCACTGTACTGTAGTACAGTACCCAATTTGATTCTTTCCCATCATACACATCTTTTCCTCTGCACTGCACCGTCTTCCTCCCGCCCCCGCTCTCTACCCACCATCCCCCATGTTCCGTCACTAAGTCTGCCCAATTTCTCTCCCTCCTCACTTCCTGACTCATTCACAACACCTTTGCCTCCCCCACCTTGCCTCTCACTCTCGCCTCACCTCTTCCACCTCCCCCCTCGCGCCCAGTCATGTCCGCGCCACCACATCCGTCAACCTCATCCAATACCCCGCCATGGGCACCGGGAGCTCGCGCCATCGGCCTGGAGTACAACAAGTTTTCCGACTTTCTCAAACACTTAACTCGTGTCCTTGGCCGTACTCTGCCCCTTTCACTCACCTGCGCAGAGAGTCCCTCCTGTGCAGAGAGCCCCTCCTCCCGTCGTCGTTTGAAACGACGTCACCCTTCCTTTGACCGCGACCCAAGTGACTCCTTGTATCCTCGCAAGCGCCAATCCTCCAATTCGCGCGTGCCAATCTATACCCGCCCCTTCTTTGATGACGACACAGAGAAAGCCATTCTCGAGGTCACGCTACAGCACTGTGCGAAAAAACTCAATGTTCCCCGCACAACCGCTACCCACCATACAAGCCGCAAGCAGCACCCCTCTGACAAACTCGTCCTTAAGATTCGCCTCCCAACACTGGCCAATAAGCCAAAATCACGTGAACCGAAACATGTGCGGGATGGACAGAGCGAGGTGAAGGCTCAATCGGATGACGACCAAGAAACCCTCTACATTCCAAAGCGCAAACGAAGCTCCTCCAAATCCCTCAACAATCCCTCGGCCGCACCAGGAAAGTCTCGAAAAGCTGGGCATGAGCGGCCAGCCACAAAAATCCTACATCCTCGTCCTGCCGAGTCAGTAGCAGCGACGGACAATGTCTTCGATGTGGATAATCCACCGTCTCCAAAGACCCCGCTTGAACATATTCTGCAGTTTGCCCGGGGGAACAACACAAGCATGACCAAGATTGGCAAGGCCGATAAGAAGGAAGCCCTCAAAATGCGCACCAATTTAGCAACATTCCGCGGGTGCGAGGAGCTAAGTCATATCAGTCTAACGGCATACCTCCGAACTCTCGCGTCCGCGCACCATGTCTATATTAGCTCCGCCGTCCGCGACGGTGAGGACAAGTCGCTCGTTCAAAATGGCTTGGATACCCTTGAACGAGATATGACTGACGCCGAATTTACAGAGTCCATGTTCAAGGATGGACGCCGCAGTCGGCGACGGGAGCAGAAGATCGCGCCGTACATTTCCAAAACAATCGACATCATTCAGCTAATTTTTCGCCTCTGGCAGAGGATGTCGTGCGCGGAGGACTCTCTTGCACAGGCCTTCACGACGCGCTTGTACGTGTGCGGGGTAGTTCAGTCGGTCTCAAGCCTTGCATATGAGATATTGTCTTTATGGCACACGAACGCAAAGGTTACAGAGCCAGGCAGCCTGAAACGTAGCGAATTGGTTGAATTCTGTGTTCGTATCTTATCCACTGTTTTGGTGTACGAGCTGAGCCCTGTCTCAGGAATATGGGGAAATGTGAAATCAGGCTTCGTATTCAAAGCCAAAACGGCAAACGGAGAGCCGTGGCTCCCGAAGCTCCTGGAATCGATTCTCTATCTCGTGGACCGCGAGGAGATGACCACTACCAGAGAGTGTCGTTTGGCAGCTGGAGAGCTTTACCAGCTCTATGTTGTTCGGTGTCACTGCCCTTTTCCGAGTGCCAGCGAGCAGAAGCAGATATGGGATGAGGGTCTGCACATGAGGGCTGAGCAACTGAGTACGCTGATTTCGAGCGACACTTTTTGGTCAACTGCTGTCGGTTCAGCAATGCAGACGATACGAAAACAGGAAGACACTCCCGACGCAGACTTTGCAATCACGTTTCTTCATTCCCTTTTGTCTGAAGGGGCTGCAGCGAAGAGCTTGGTCCAAAAGCAGACCACCCATCGCGATGTTCTGTTGGGTGTGTTAGCCAAACTTTTGGAAAGGTTGGATCGGCAACTGCTGAGTGCTTTTGTTCAAATTGAGAGAAGCAACAGGAGTACCCCAGTTTTGCCGTCTTCCGTTGACCTCATTCGCAAGCTTATGTCATCCGCTGTATTGCAGCGTGAACTGATAAGCAGCCGAGAAAGGGAGCGGAGGCGAACTTACCTTGATGCCATAGCCAGCATTCTTTCCCGGTTGGCGAAACTCGTACCCGGAGAAATAGAAAACGACAAATTGATGGTCTACGCGCGAGAGGGTGCCTTTAGCGGAATATCGGAGAAACTGCTGACTGAGCTACCCGCAGATATCGCAATCTCTCGCTTCATGCCTGAAGTGTCTGACAGTGACGCTGACGATCCGAACACTTTGAAGGATTGCCAGGCTGCCAGGATGAAGGCTCTCGCGTTTGGCGCATGGCTCGTCGGTGCTCTCGGCAAGAGTATGGAGGACGGGTCTAGGGATATGACGCAAATGAACGGACTTCAAATTCTCCTATCGTCCCGTTTCAATAGCACGCGTGCTTTAAAGAAACTTTGGAGAATTCTCTTTAAGATTCAGGCTGGGCTTGAGCATGACGTGCGCGGCACCTTGGTGGGCAGTCTTGCAAAACGTACCGC